AGTAGAAAAATTGGGTTCTCTGACATTTCGTAACTTTGTGTAAGTCACTTCTTCAGAGAATAATTAAATAATCAAATCAAAATTAATTCAAGTTTAAACTTAATTTATTCGCTAAAGAAGTGGCTTACACAAAGTCATGAAATGTCAGAAAATCTAATTTTTCTACTCATTAGGAAATTACACAATTATATTAATTAATTTATTTATAACAATCTACCCAATGCTCAATTTATTCGAAATTATCAAATCAAATCTTGGTAATGATACCTACATTTTTTCTATCATCTATAGGTATTAATAAAAGTTATATATGGAACCTATCAAGTAACTTACTGTGTAAGTTAATTTAAGTGATAAACCTTCTCAATAATCTATTATTAAGACTCTATATTATTCTTCATTTTGATTGAAAAGATGATTACGTAATAATTATATAATAAGAATTGTTCAAATAAAAATAAACATTTGAATTATTAGAAACTTATTTCAAACTTTAATTATTATAGAGGAAAAATAAATTTGTAAAATCTCAGCGAAAGAATTTGAAGTAAATCCAACGTTTCGCCTGGCAATCTTTTCCTTGAAAATGCTTGGACCAGACTGCCAGGCGAAACGTTGGATTTACTTCAAATTCTTTCGCTGAGATTTTACAAATACATTTTTTCCTATTTAATGTCTCACATTAACTCGGCGCCCAAATATTGTGAAACTGTTCGTTTTAATTATTATAGTTTGGAATAATTTGATAAACATAAATAAAACCAGACCACTGAACCGGCATTCAACGGTGTTAATGTCTAACTTCAACCAATCCACGAAGTTGCGCCACCGTCAACATTGTCTTCAGTGAGCTGATATCTCACAACAGACATGGTTGAACTCCACTGGTCACATAAATAAAACTATTTAATCATGTTAAAACTATTGCCCTTATTACTTATTGATGAATAGATCAATTTTCGTGTTTAAGACTCTTAATATATCATTTAATCTCAAGTTATGCTTTTGGTACAGTAAATACAATAGAAACTATAAGATAATTTTAAGTTAAATCAATATAAAAACTCAATACCCTCAAATGTGTAAAATCAATTTCTTTATCATATAAAGTTCCATGTAGTTCATGTAAATAATCTAAAGTTGTATCAACATATCCATACATATGAGTTTAAAATTTTACATAGAAAGTCATCATACATTTAAATCCTGATACAAAGTGTAGATTGGTTCAATTTTGAATAATTAATAATAACAATGATATATATATATATATATATATATATATATATATATATATATATATATATATATATATAACTGAATATATTAGTGCTAATTTTGAGAAATTAGATCAAAAGTCACTTAAAAAATTAAATAAGAACACGTTTAGAATAATATTATTGTCAAGATCGAGTAGAGTAAAAAGAATCGATGCATTTCATTAGATTAAATCATCTTTAAGTCATATCTCCAATATTTTTCCTTTCATCTCTAATCATTTCAAGAAGCCCATCCCTATTTGTATCACAGTGTAACAAACATTGACATTATCCGCATATGTTATATCTTGTTTTAGCTTTCCTTATTTACTTTTAATCAAATCATATTCCATCTAACATAATCTATTAGACCTAACGTTAACTGGTTATAAATACCGTGTAGTTCAACTGCTTCAAATTATAAGAATTTAAAACCTCATTAACCAATTCACCACATTCATATACAACTCTACACATAACATCATCAGCTTAATAATTTCACTAAAATAATTTAATAAATAACATTATACGAGAGTACATAAAAATTTACACAATTCCACTATGATCTTCAATTATTAACAACTATGTATTAAATCCTTAGTTTCTACTCTGTGCTTGTGGGTTTTTTTTCAATTTTCACTTCCATTTACAATGATCGATTTTTTATTTACCAACTTTATAACAATGACTCGATATACTGACTGCTATTATTATTGATCAATCCCTATGTTGTTGTTGTTGTGTTTTTCCTTATTTCAGTTGTGTAATTCAACTTTACTGGCACTGTTCACCTTTATATTTCATTTCTCTTAAAATCAATCAATACAAAGTAACAAACCTTTTTTTAAATTTATTTAGAAACTTGAATTCAGCCCGTTGTATGAAAACAAATTGTTAAACTTCATTATACGTTTCATCCTCGAGTCAGTTTTTCTTTATTCACATTAATTATTTCCTATTCAATTTACTTCTAACAATGTAATGTCAAGTTATTCATAATAAAGAAAATTTCATTCATCTTTTAAATGTTTGTTGTTGTTGTTGTTGCTGCTGCTGCTGCTGTATAGATCTTCATTAATAACACCTACCAATAATGATAAATGAAAATTCGAAGAATTCTACGTTTCAAATTATATTTTAATAAAACTTCTTTTTGGTAGAGTTTTGTTCTCTGAGCTGGATGATTTAGTCGTGGAGCTTTCGTCGTTCTTCTGAACGACAAACTTCAAGAAGAAGTGAAGTGTTCGAATTTCTCCACATGTGGTTCACAGCTTGTCCTATACACCACGACGTTGATTGATTCCAAACCATCCAGATTAGAGAACAAAACTCCACCAAAATCATCCACCTAAGCTATAAATCTTCTCCATCATCTTAATAAAACTTCAAATGTGAAAATTACATGGTATTTTTTTGTTTTTTAAATACATGTAGTTTAATAGTTGAACTCATCAGTCAATTGAATTTAGACCACTATGGAAAACCTAGAAGCACTGGACGGCCATTTCATCCTAGTACGGGACTCCTTAGTAATGCCTGTCCATTATCCCGCCTCGCGAGATTCGAAACCAAGACCTATCGGTTTCGTGCGTGAACTCAACCATTAGACCAGTGAGTCGGCATCCACCTTCAACCAATCCACGAATATATGAATATTTTACGTAGATTATTACTTTAAATATCGTGTTTTTATTTATCAGATCACATAATTCACATGTTCATTTCCTGAATTAATTCGTTGATCTTATTTATTTATAAACTAGATTGTATATGTGCAATGTTTGATACTTAAAGGTTAAAAATGAATGAAAAGAAGCTGTAACCCTATCAGTAAGCAATTTTGATATTTCTGTGAAAACTATCTACTCAAATAATGAAATCTGTGTAATTCAAAATGATTAGCCTAAGTATTAATAAGATTCATTTGATACTGATGAGCAGATCGGCTAATTACTAGTAGACTATTAGTATACTTGGTTCAATTTTACAGAAGCTTTATTGACATATGAATATTTCAATGGTAATGCCGTTAACTACAGACTTCATGTGACTGATCGAATATAGTTCTCTTCGAAGTTCTGTATGCTTCACTCAGATTACTACCCATAAATTATGAAACAAGTTAATATTTATTATTATTATTAATTAATTAATTAATTATTAATTGATATTATTGTACATAAAACCTTCTATCAACATAAATTGGTCTATACTACTTATATGATAATTTCATGAACTAAACCGAATTTAATTTATTGGAGTCTAAAATTCTTTAAGTTTTTCAGTAGTAGTCATTAGATTAACCAAAAATTCTAAGTTTCATTACACCCTGATTTTATAAACAAAACTGAGTTAAATTATATATGTAACTTAGAAGATACTTTTTTTAGTTTAAAAATCTCTATATGAAAAGTAGTTATCATTCCAGAAAGATATCAGTTAGATAATCAATGAAAATCACTTAAATTACTGAACATAAGTTTTGTCATAATTCAAGACTTCTATGTAGTGCCCATCCACAATCCCCCACACAAAGTTGTTCTCAGTACCTTTTAGAACATTGAATCGATATCAAATGATCTGAATTATTTTAGTTACAACCGGTTTATGATACAATTTTCAATTTTAAGTCATTATTGCTATTTTTCTAGCTCCCAATGTAACTGAATACTAATATCAATATTGATAGTTGACTGGATTTTGGGAAAAATTATGATTCGTCCTTAGATTTGAATTTCTCGGGTTCAATCCTGTATATATATAAAATTCAACTTAACATGAATAATAACGCTGTTTTGATATATTTATTATATGACTAACAATGGAATCCAGAAGGCACGCTTCGTCTCGTTTGGGGCTCATCAGCTACACACAAGTACATCTCAATCTTGATGTCCACAATCTAACATAAATCCAGTACCTTTCTTTTCCATAATCCTTTAATAACACTTAATTATGTGTTTCTGACATATTTAAATAAAACACATAATTACCATATATCTAATTACATTACAATTATCTAGGGAAATATTCTACAACAAGTGAATATAGTTGTGATTAATTGTTTTCTTTTTATTTCATTGTCACATTGATAATGAGAACTTCAAGAAGATGGTTAACTAAATAGCAATACAATGAATTCTTCATAACAACAGAATTGATTAAACAAAAATATTTCTGAAATTTCTAATCAAAATAACCGTTAATATTTAAGTCAAAATAAGAAGGATAAAGGATTGGGAGGGGATTATTACGTTTTATAGTTTATATATGCTTACTAGTAATTAATTTCAAGAGAGAATTATCAGAGCTCTAATGAGAAACCATTACCAGTGAAGTTCAACTATTCCAGATATGAAACAGTTACTCACTAATAGCACTAAAAGAAAGCTATGTAATATTGAGAATCAGTTGAATTTAGAAATGTGAACCATTGGATGTCGACTCGGTGGTCCTACCTGGTGACACCAAAAGGTCTTAGGTTAAATCCCCAGTTATGTCATGGTTGAGTACTTCTGAAGAGTCACATAGTATGATAAACAGTTGTCTAATGTTTACTGGTTTTTAATGGTTGTTTAACTAAGGCCAGTCCATGTAATAGAAAGCCTTAAAAAGAAGAATATTTGTTAGGGTTTGTTTCTAAATACCGATGTCAATAACTTCAGTGAATGTGGAACTTCGTGCTTTAAACCTTAATAAGTGTAATGCAATCAATTTATTTTTTAATCTATTTGTACTTACTTTCAATATTTTCAGGTTGATTATAAAATTTAGATTCATGAATTTCTGAACTAGTCGGTATACTGGTACTAGTATCAATTGTTGTCATTGTAATATTATTAGTTGTAATCGGTCCAGATGATGTTGTATGACTTCCTTGAATTATTTCACGATGACTATTATCCGTATTTAATCCATATTGTTTTAACTTACATTCATGTTCATTAGATGTTGTTAATTTTAACGAACGTGATAACAAATCCTTGTGTTTCATTTGTTGTTTTCTATTCATTAAATCATAGCGATTTGAGTTATTGTTTTGAATAGGGAGAGGAGATAAAGATGATTGTTGACATTGATGTGAATCAGATACAACATGAATTGTATTCTCTATTCCAGTTATTTTATGATTGGTTAATAATTTGTGATCAGATTTTTCATTCGTTCTTAGTTGATTCATATTTGATTTATGTCGACATGCAATAATTTTCTTCTCTTGTCCCTTATTGTTAATTGAATAAGTATATTTATTGACATTAGATGAAATAACATTATCCTGAGTTGTAGAAATGTTGGAATGTTGCTGTTTTTGTGATTGTTGTTTCATGTTTGTTTGTTTATTTCTACTTAATTTTTTCCCTTACTATTCTCTCGTAGACCCCAATTATGGTTTTTTGAAGAAAAAAAAAACAAGAAATCAATCAAATTCCGAAAATTTTTGTCTTTTTTTACGTGTATGACAATATAATTAATAAACCCGAGTGTGTATCTCAGGTATGGTCACATGTGGAATTCGGCCAGTTTATTCATGCCGAAAAGTGTGAAATAGACTTGTTTAATCGGTATTACATTCACATACACTACTCACAGGCACACATACCATTGAACATATCAACAAACATACATGTACAGAAAAAAAACATTTACGAAAGAGGTTGTACCAAGTGTTGTAGGCGTAGTAAAGACAGATCACTTAAATAATTGGATGTCATCAGTTAGTTTGGGAGAGATGTGTTTGTATATCTACTATTTCATCTGTGTATTAATGTAAATACTTGTTTGTATATATTTGCATATGTGTAGTATTGACAACGACAGAATAACGATTGGAACGTATAGGAAATTATAAGGACATAACTGAAAAAAGGGACTATTAGTCAGACACGAAAAGCTATCCGTATGGTCAAATATTATGTTAACCGACGGTGATACTAAAGACGAGTTCTATGTTCACAACAATAATTACAATGATCCAGTTTTAAATAAAGATACACTAGTCATTTCATTGATCACCATGTGTTGATTTTCTTATAATTTGTGTTTCCCTAAGTCAATTAGAACACGTGTAGCAGAGGCCAAGTTTATGCATTCGATTAACAATCGATTGAATGCTAAGCTGTCAATACATTGGTTAAGGAAAAAAAGTGTCCTTTTAGTAACTACTTAACTGATGTAGTAATGACGATTAGATTCATAATATTACAAAGTAAATAGATAGTTGGGATTGTTAGTGCCTAATAGTGACCAACATTACATAATTCATTAGCCGTTTAACGCTTGATACCGACCTCTTTAATGTTAGAGAAATAAACTAGAGAAAGATATGTCTCCAAGTAGTGGAACTATTTTAATAGATCTACTTGAATGCATTCTTTAAATAACCAGTTAGTTTGCTTCACCTTGACTAACTTTCAGACTCAATCAAATATTACTGTTACACCTTGGATACCATTGTTTTCTTTAGTATTCACAATCAATCAAGAGTATATAGATTATTAGCTTGATATATATCGTGGATGCGCACAGCTGAGGGGTCCCATACTAGGACGAAACAGCCGTCTAGTGCTTACAGGTCTCCATGGTGGTCTAGCTTCAATTGACTCATGATTTCAACTATTGAAATTACTAAAGTCTCCATAAAAACCCTTCTGATTTCTGAATAAGTTAAAAATGACCTTCCATGGAATTTTGTCATGTCATTTACCATCAAAAATGGGTTCATTGGAAAACTTGAGATTAAAACGTGACTCTTATCAGATCGAATATAAAATAATCCCCAATCCCCTCTTTTTCTAGAAGAAACTCAGGGAGTTTGAAAAAAACACTTTATAAATACTTATATTTGTAAAGCAGTTAGTCCCTTTGATAAATTTCGATAATGTAATAAGAAGACGAAGATCACCAGAACTATGTGATATTTATTTCCAGTCTAATTGACCTTTTATTTCTATATATAAATGTTCTTAACAAGTGTATTATGTGTAATCAGATTGGTCGAAATGTATCGCGCTAATATATCACATAGTTCTGATAATCTTCGTCTTCTTATTACATAATCGAAACTTATATTTATTTTCTTTTAGGGAGAAAAGATTTCAATGAAACACTGTCACAAATTCCTAATACTTCCTTAAATTTATAGATTTTCTCTGTATTCATTAACTTCTATAACTTTCGATTTATTCAGCTTATTTCTTTAGAATGTTATAAGAACTTTAACATATTTAAAAAAAATTGTTAATTCATGATGAGAATCACTTTCAAACTACATAAAATATCAAATAGAATCACTTAACTTATCAATAAGTCTACGTTCATGAATGATTAGGTTCAACATGAATTTCATAAAATTCTTATCAAAACTCATGACGAACTGATTGAATTGAATTGGAAATAAGACAATAATTCACCGATCACACTTTATGTGTACAGCTTTGTATTGAAAATTTGAATCATTAGATACAGATTTATTGATTTACTCTATAAGTTACTTGATTCGATTTTTTAATGTAATACAATTGATTTGATTACTCTCAATTAAATGATCAGATACTATACACTCTGCTGCTCTCCTTTCTGCATCTAACAAACTGAAAAATGTGATGATATACTTTTTCATTATATTATTTTAAGTCATTACCAATAGTTTCTAGTGAATACAAGTTCCTAGTGAAAACTATTTTCAAATCAATATATTGAGTATTTTACTTAAAAATGATAAACGTAAATAAATTCCCTTCTTAGTTCATTCCATACACATCTGATGAAAATCAAAATTAATCTATCATCTTTAATAACTAAAGAGATTGAGAACACATTTTACTAACTCTGATACACATCTAAGTAAATAATTATTTGTTTAATATCAGAAGGGATTTTTGGTAATTTCAGTAGTTGAGATCATGAGTCAATTGAAGCTAGACCACTATGGAAAACCTGGAAGCACTGGATGGCCGTTTCGTTCTAGCATGGAAATCCTCAGCAGTGCGCATCCACGATCCCGCCCCGAGAGTTTTAAACCCAGGACCTATCATTCTCGTGAGTGAACGCTTAACCACTAGACCTTTGAGCCGGCATCCAACAGTGTTAATGTCTAACTTCAACCAATCCACGATGTTGAACGACACATCCACCATAAGTCTTGGGCTGGAATCCATCGAGGCGGAGTCATGGATTCGTACTGCTGAAGAACCCAACAGTAGGGCGAAACGGCCATCCAGTGCTTCTAGGTTTTCCATAGTGGTCTAGCTTCGATTGACTCACGATCTCAACTATTAAAATTATTTGTTGATCTTAAATCATCACTTTATTTGTCTTTCCTTTTTCTAGAAAAAAATAATCCTAATTATTATGTATGTAAGTGAAACTTAAGCTGACTATGATAATCTTTCAACTTGCTTTATTATTTTCAACTTGTTTTTCTTTATCTCGAAATTTTTTCACATTTCAGTATGTTTATTAGAAGAAAGATAAAGTTTCATATGATGGGATGAAAAAGGTAAAATTACATTCTTTTATTCATTGTAATTTTTGTTTGACATTACTACCGTTTGTTTAATTCAATGTGATAATTACTTAGTGTAGTATTTGTTTTGTTTCTAAGTTTGATATTTTGTTCAACATAACATTAATTTGTTTGAGTGGGATGTGTTATTCCAGATATGATATTCTTATATTAAAAATTAACATGAACTATGCTCAGCATGACATACAGCATGTGATTTAATTATAACTGGGTATTTTTCATATATATGATTTCATCCTAATTAGTAACCAAAATGGGTGTACATTCAATACATAAATGAGTATATTTTCGATTAGAGTCGTCCTGTTTTAGGTTCAATGAATCATCACTTATATCAATCTTAGTGTTCTCACTTTGTGTTATAGAAATTACAGTGGTTCCTCGTTTTACAAGTATAAGTAATAAGTGACGAGAATATAATCAAGTTAAAATATACAGAACAATAAGGGTAAAAGTAAAGGGATGAGCTTTAAACGATTGTGTCGAATTTTCAACTCGTTATTAGTTAGGATAGCTTACGCAAGCTGAAAATAAAATGTTTTAAAATATAGATAGGTTTTTAAGTGTTTCCACATTTTTCTTCGTTAGTGTTAGGGATTTACAGTTGGGATTAGAAGTTTCGAATGAAGGTCTTTATTACTGAATGACATCTGTTATCATGTAAAAATGTTTTATGACCATACAAACATATTTCTAATGCTCGTTATAAGTGTAGCTGTTTGCATCTAGCCAGAAGGTACTCCGTTTACTAAAGGAGAATACACAGCAGCATGAATGAGGAGGGCTGGAGAAGAGAAAAACAAAAAGAAAGGTGATTCAACGACCCAACAAGCGCATACAATGAACTTACATTTATTAAAGAAAGTAATAGACAACAATCATCAATAACACAAGTCTCAGATTAAACCAGTCTTGGAATCGACACTAGTAGCAGTTAATTTAATCCACTACAATAAGTAATATTTGAGTTTTGCGCAAAAATTTGAGAGTCGGGTTTTCGATTTTGATTCCCTATTCCCTATACTATACTTGTATCATAATACGTTTTGATATTTGGACAGTGGATAAAACATTATGAGTTTAACATTTATCAAAGTCACCGATAGATGTACAATTCTTTCGATTAATTGAGTCGAATATTCAATAGAAAATAATCTAATTCGAAAATATTTTTCTTTACGAAATGGAATCACTTAAAAAGTCACTGAAAACTAAATTACATTTGACAGTTGTTCCATTGTCATTTGATGCTTCCCAAAAAATCAAACATGTGACAATTGAAATGGATTAAACATATGGTCTTCAGTTTTCTAGACAACCATTACACAACTTATTCAATAAGTAAAAACTCAATGTTCTACAATCTTAAAGGGATGTTATCAATGAACTATGATGATTTCTTTTTCTTACGAATATTAAAGTCATTTACCCGAAACAATTGAAGGGTATATGTAGGTTAGATGTTTCTAACAATTTGAGAAACTTCCACTCTAGATGAGATGGAGTGTTGTAATTTATATTCACTTTAAGTAAATTTGTGGTGTAAGATACTTATATTCACATAAATGGTATATAACGACAGTCAGTCATGGAATGTATCTCAGTAGAAGACCGAGAAGGAAAGAACGAGTACGAAAAGCGATTGGTATGAAATCTGAGACAATGGACTGATATTTGCTAAAAAAACAGTCAAGTTTGAGACAATGGATTCATACTTTGTAAATTAAGTATTTACTATATTGTGCTCAGGTACATTAGATTGCACCCACTCGTGTTCTTGTTCACTACAAATTAACAAATTTAGTTTAATTCCTTTACTTGAATTTCTATATTCATTCCCAATAAATTTATTCAATGAAATCGCTTACTGGAAAAAATTCATAATAAATAACTCATAATAAAAAAATTTCGGTCATTTCTTTATTGACATCCTCCGTAAAATCACTAAGGAAAACATTATAACATTTTTTTGAAATTTTGCTTTTAAAATTATTCGAATATCCAGCTACTATTAAAA